TCTTCTCAAATGACTTTCATACTTCTATGAAAGATGCGAATATGAAAGCATGCTTTAAAACTCTAGAACGTCCATTGAAATCACGCAAGATATAAATCCTGATAAGTGTATTTTATGTGCTTATTCGGACATCTATTCTTATTTAATTATATATAAATTGAGCGTTTATCTACTTAAGTTGTGCAAAATATGTAACTTGTATGACAATCTCAATTTGGATACAATTTATTTGAAAATAGGCTATTTGGAGCATAATTGGATTTGATTTGGAACAATTGAAGATTAACTGGACTGCAAGAGATCAATTGAAAATATTAATGGAGCATATGGTAAAAATTCATAAGTTTCGAGGATTAAATTCGACATTTGAAAATTTTGAGGATTGATTTGCAAACTTTGAAACTTATTTCAAGTCAACTATGATGATTTTGGAATGAAGAGGACCTAATTGTAAAATAAAAGATGATGGAAGAATAAAGTTACATGAGAAAAGGAGTTCAATTGTAAAGGGAATTTGTTTCCTTTTATTTTTTGAACTCTTTGGTACAGTCATGCCGACTACACTAGAGGAGTTGGAATCTCCTTCCAACAGATGAGGGTGAATTAGGTTTTAGGAGACTACAAGATGGTGGACACTTTCTCTATGAAACTTTGGTGGTTGTTTTGATCTCAGAATCCTCTTGGTGCTCAATTTTTACTGGGCAAATACTGTATGGGGACTTATCCATCACTTGCAACGGTTCCCTACTCGGTCTCTCCTACCTAGAAAAGGTTGAAGAAAGTTGCGCCACACATTGCATGGTACCTTGGCGCGGGATAGATGTCTTTATAGCACGATTTTTGAATGGGCGATAGTGATATTACACTAGCATCTCTATTCCTGAACATGTAACACATATTTGCGAGGGTGCAATATTTTTTTGATAACGCTTGGTGGGATTTTGGATGATTATCATAGGCTCTTCCTCCTCACATGATGGAGCATATAGGGACAATACCTTTATGTGTAGATGCTCCGGACTATATTGTTTGGAAGGTTACATCGGATGGTAGCTTTGTTACCAATTTAGCATGGCAGCTAATCCATTCAGTTCGCTAATCTCAGGATTCGTATTGATTATCGTGGAGCTCCATTTTGCCTACCTATGTTTCATTCTTCAATTAGAGATTATGGTAGAATCCCATACCAGTAGATGTAATCATTCAGAGGATAATTGGGTGTCAGTTGGCTTCTTGATGTTAGTGTTGTTCTGAGATTAAGACCATCGGTCATATCTTCATTGCAACAGCATCTCTAATCAGGTATGACAGCACTTTGGGGATGTTTTTCAAATACCTATGAGATCAAGAGAGGGGGTCAGACAAAGATGGAGGTATTATGGACAATACGTTCACTGTGTTCACATTCGCACTATCATTCCTCTACTGATATTATGGTTTTTATGGACCGAGAGGAATGATACGAAGTATAGGAAGATCTATATGGTGGCCAAATAGATCATTTGGAAGTTATACCGCATGATCTCTTTTCTTCATATGGGAGGATTTCTTAGAGCTGTGCACGGGAGAGGGGACTTACACTTGAACCATTCTTTGGTATTACTATGACTCTTCCTCCTCTATGACCACCTATTATGGTTGTTTGGCGTACCCTACCAACGAGATCTTATAAGATCAACACTGATAGATGCGTCAATGATGGATTTGCTAGTGGTTGGGCATCATTAGGGACCACACAGGGCACTGTATTTGGGCATACTTAGGATTGTATGGCCCATGTTTGATTTTAAAAGTCGTGCTCAGAGCTATTCTGGATGGAATTCTATTGGCCAGAGGAATTCGAATATCAATTAGTTGGATTGAGGTAGATTCGATCATAGCTATTCACTGCATCGCCAAGGGCGAAGGACCATGGAAGAGATTCAGGGTAGTGTTAGATAGATCAGAGACCTTATCTCCTTCGACAGAAACATGGTTTTCCAAATCTACAAAGAGGGAAAATAGGTTGTAGACTCGCTTGCTTCGGAGGATTAGGATCACCGGCACTTTCAGAAGTATGGACCGTTTGACCTACCACGCTAGATTAGGACATCGACAGACATGGATTGCCAAGCTTTAGAGGTTTGTAGTTTAGGTTCCATTTTTTGCATTAATTCCATTGTACAAGAAAGTAGTGCAAGAAAGTAGTACTTCCCTATTTATTGCCTTAATTTTTTTTCCTTGTTGCATTGTTGCTTTTTTGGAGGTCAGGCTTGTGCCCCCTCCATGATTTTTATATCATGTATATATATATATATATATATATATATATGGTTGGGAAACCCTTAAGCCCTATTGACCTTCCTCGGTGGGCCCTAAAAAGTCACAAAGGAGTATATATATATATATATATATATATATAAATGCATTTTTCTGCCTTTGTTACTGAAATATGAGAAAGTGTCTTAAAACTAATATTACTATTAGGAAAACAAAGTAATTCTATATTACCAAATCTTAACTTATCATGAGTCTGGAGTATATTTGTCTTGAAATAGGGTTAGTATTTCAAAGATTAAAAAGCTGTTGAAGAAGGATGTTCTATAAATACATACCTTAGTCCAACAATTAAAGGGGCATGTGAAGTTTCATTATACACATACATTCAAGCCAAGGTTTCGAGATTCATTGTACATGTATTATTCAAACCAAAATGAGGAAAAAAAAAAATCAAGAAATCAATTAAGAAGCTAAGGTTTCAAGGATTTTACAAGAAGAGACAGATTCTTGGTGTAAGATCTTCATCTTTTTCTCATTTTTTCTTAATACCCGATAATGTACTTTAATTCACGCATGTACTTTTATTTGGGTTAAAGAATAATTCTTTTTATTTTCCCATAACATGTAATTAAGTATTTAGTTATAATGAATGATTGTAACCTAATTTTGAACATTAATTTTAATTAAAAAGTTTTAAATATCTAGTTGATTTTGTGAATTGTTTTTCTACTATTGTTAATGCTTGGATTAATTAGCCACTAATTCATTGATTTCGAGAACAATAATTACATAGCGATGCTGATTATTTATCTAGACCACGTGGCAAGAGCTGATAATTAGAACAAAATGTAGAGATACTTATACTAGTTATTGCGATCGTTACATGAATCCTTAAAACATAACTGCATTTAACTAAAATTAATTCACATAGAGATATGAAATAGAATTAACTAAATAAATTCAATGAGAACACGCGAGAGGTAAATTGAATGCATCAGAAAAATTCGATTAGGTAAATATATTCAATTGTATAGAACTTGGTAATTGAGATAAAGGGAATAGATATAATGAAATCATGAATCCTAACACTTAAACCACATATTAAAAAATCACTTGTTTTATGATATCTAAAATAGAAAATTGTAAAAAGAAAAAAAATAACTACTTTATTTGTTTTCGATCAAATTCAAGTTAGGAATAATTGAATCAATTATTTAATAGTTGTTCTGTGGAAATGATATCCAGACTTATATGTCCACTTTATTACTTGTAACGATTCGTACACTTACGGGATATAAAATCGACAACAATCCTCTATCGCATCACAACAATTGTTATAACGTATAATCTATCTTACTATTTCTCTCCAGTGTAACAAAATTCACACATCAATCTAGTTAGTGATCAAGTAATTGAAAAACTTTAAAACCCTACAACAAAACACATATTAAGCATCAAAGTCTTAAAAATTAAATTAAAACTCAATAACATGTGTTAATCTATATCTTAGTGACTTGAAATTTAGCCTAGTATGACAAAGATACATGAATTCATATTTAATTTATAGGATATCGCTCGGATTCTTAATATATGAATTGATATAGAAAGAATCAAGAAATCTTGAATGTCTTCAAAAGATCTTGATCGATATCCAATAGTATCTTCCTCTTTTTTTACCCAAAAACCGATGTTGAATCTTCAAATGATTTTCTGATTTCTCATATCTTGCCTTTTGAATTCTCCCAAAAGAATGATTATTTGGACTCCTTTAATTGCAAGATTATTATAAATTGCATGATATGAAAAGTGTCTTGCAACGCTGGTGTGTTCTATATTTATTGAGGCTAAAATTATGTCAAAATTTATGTCAATATGGTTTCCATAAGATAGTTGAATCAAATAAGGAAATTGCCACATCTGATCAAAATTGTGGTGTGGGATCGCAAATCTATGTAAGTTGCGATCACAACATCAAAACTCGGTAGAATCTACATTCGCCAAATAGGGCATTGCAAGGTGTGCGATCGTACGCCCCAAACTTTGGGCTTCCTGTATTTTAGTCACTAATTTTATCTTTAGTGCATCTTGAGTCTTTTTTCGTGCACTTTTTATCCATTGTCTTCTAATTTCATCCGGTTGATCCCTTGCATTCCTCAATCATTCTTCCTTAGTCTTAGTCAACTTTTGAATATTGTAATTTAGTCATTGAACTTTAAAATTCTCCATTTTTTGTCCTTTAATCGATTATCACTTCTTTTTTTCAAGTCATCCAAACCTAAATATATCATGTAATAATCGATATTTAACCAAATTAAGTAGCAAGATTCATTAATGAGAAGCTTAAATATTTACTTTTGATGGTCCAAATTGGTATATAACTTACACATATCAATGACTTTGCTCCTCTAATCCCTATCCCATGCTTTACCTTCTTGTAGTTCAACTAGAGTCTTACATGCATGCAGATATAATTAATGAATTCAAATCCGAACTATGCATAATGCACAATTTTTACCTTTCTTGAGTCCACTTTTTCGTTATCAGCCAAGATAATTATTAGCTGATCGTCAATAATGAACCTCACCCTTGTGTTAACCAAAAAAATAAAATAAAAAAATTTATAAATATACCATCTCAACTAATGATGCACACAAAATGTTTGGGGACACGTTTCGAAGAAAAATAAATGTTTGGGGACAAAGCGCATTTATCTTGCTCCAAAAAATCGTGTCACCAAATTTGTTTTAACCAAAGCAATATTATGCTAATTCAGATACAGCTTGCAGTTCACAGTAATGGCGGAACAAATTCACAGCCTATGGGGGCATTTGCCGCTGCTGGTAAGAGCCAATTCCAAGGAATCCGTTGAGTACATACTTCAAGCCCTTTGGCGAACCCGCCACACAGGACTTGATGCCGCCGACCGCCAAATCTTCCGCGAAATCCTCCAACTCCCCAACGATTCCGACATCGATCCTGTATGTCCACTTTCCCTGTCACTTTCGAAGTAAAAAATATTTTTTTTTTATGACTTATGCAGCATCAGACAACCAAAAACTCGCCAGAGTTATTTTTATTGGGTGATTAAAATATAGTTAACCTAAATTCAAGCGAAGTTTTGTAATGTTTAAATTTTGTTTTAATGGTGCTCATCAGTTGTCTAGTTGTGCTATAGTCTTGGTTTTCCATTTGTAAAAGCTGTTCTTACTGGGTTAAAAATGAATTTTAATAGGATTTTTGAATTTATTTATTTATTAATTATTTTTTTTGCAAATTTTCATCGCTGTTCTGTTAACATTATTTTGTTGGTATAATCTCTGGTGGTTAGAGAAGAAAATATTTCTGGTCCTTGGTTTGGAGTGAAATTCCCTCAAACTCCCAAGGGATGTATAGGATTTCCCAATTTACCTTCTCTGTGAAAGACATAAGAATTCACTTTTAATGGTGCTCATTATTTTTCTAGTTGTGCAATAATCTTGGTTTTTAATTTTTAAACCTATGTTTACATAACAAGTTACTGTGTTAACAATTGAATTTTAATAGGATTTTTGTATTAAATTGCAAATTTGCATACCCGTGAATGTTATTTACTGATATATGGGTAATCTCCGTGGTCAGAGAAGAAAAGATTTCTATGAAAGTAGTAGTCTTTGATTTAAAGCCAAATTCCCCAAAACTGAAAAAGGGATGTTTAGGATTCAATTTACGGAAGGATTACTCATTTGATGGTGCTCATTAGTTGTCTAGTTGTGAAAGATTCTTGTTTTTTGATTTGTAAAAGTTGTGTTTACCTAACAAGTAACCGTGATAAAAAAATTTTTTAAAAGGACTTATGTATAGGCTTCAATTTCGCTATTTACCAGGAACTGGATGGAAGACATAAGGATTACCCTTTTGATATATGTGTAATTTCCGGCAGCCACGGAAGAAAAAAAATCTATGGCAGTAGTAATCTTTTGTTTAGTGGAGAATTTCCTCATGCTCAGAAGGGATGTATAGGCTTTAATTTCACTATTTACCTTTTTTTCTTGGATGGGAGACATAAGCATTACACTTATAATGGTATTCAATTGCAGTCTAGTTGTGCAATAATCTTGATTTTAGATTTGCATAATGAGCCATGGTGTTAAAAATTAAATTTTAGCTAGGTTTTTGTGTTAAAATTGCAAATTTGTATTGCTGTTAATGTTATTTAATGATATATGGTAATCTCTAATGTTAGAGAAAAGATTTCTATGAAAGTCATGTATTTGGTTTCGAGCGAAATTTTCTCAAACTCAACATGATGTAGGCTTCAAATTCGTGATTTAAATTTTTTGCATGGAAGGAAAGACATTAGTATTACCCTCTGTTAATGTGCGACTCTTTAGGAGTCATGCAAGAACATTTCTTTAATACGTAGGAAAGAACGATAATCTTATGATGGAATTGTTATTGATGAGCAAACTGAAATGACAATCGAAACTTTGGTGATAGAGGTCGGAATAAGAAAGAAAAATGAAAATTCGAGGGATTAAAATGAAATTTCCTCAAAGTTGAGTTATCTCTGATGGTTTTTAACTGTTTTGATGGAGGGTTAATATTTTGAGTTCTTCCTTCAAATTTGTTCATTTTCTTGGGTTTTAGTTTTTAATTGTATTATTAGTATCTCGTTTCTATATTAACTTGCTAGAGCAAGGCGCAAGCTGGTTAAGCACGAAATAAAATACTGAATAGTAGTTCGTTTTGCTTAGTACCTCACAACAGTAGGAATGTGGCATGTTTGATGGAAAATTGTAAATCAGAGCAAGTATATTGTAGAAAGTTTTATGCATATTATGCGGTATCTATTAGTAAAGTATGGGCTCTATTTTGGTTAGTAAAGCAGCGAAGGAACCCTTTCTTGTATTTGGTTAAAAATGAAACAATAGGTTATTTGCATGTAGAAATACAACTATCGTGGACGTTTCTCAATTTATAATCTTGTTACTCAAGCTTTATTTCGGGCTTTGTTCTGGTTACTAAAGCAGCAAAGGAACGCTTTTCGTGTATTTGGTTAAAAACAAAACAATAGGTTATTTGCTTGTAGAAATACAACTGTTGTGGACATTTTTCAATTTTCAATCTCGTTATTCATGCTTTGTTTATATCATTTGAAACATTCAAATGGTTTTCTACTTTGGTATTAGTTAAATGTAAGGAATATCAGATCTTGTTTAGGTTTTAAATATCTGGTTAGATGTTACGCCCCGAAACCTATGTCCCGAAGGTTACTCAAATAATTTCTTTAGCCATTATAAAGGTTGATTGACACATTGTAATACAAATTTTTTTGAAGAACTTTCTCATAATATGTCAAATAAATTCAATCTCCGAATGAAGTATAAATTCATCGATTTTTGAAAATAAATTTCTAATTGCAAAATGATTTTAAACTAATGCTATATACTGAAAGAAAATAAAATTCTAGATCCAATGATACGGACTCTGTTAGCGGTCGCAACCTTTGATTTCAATCAATCAAGCATCTAAAAAATATTTTAAACATGTAATGAGCGTGCGAATACATTCAGTATAAATTTCATGTCAGTATTTTCTCGATTCAATATAAAAGTCAAGTAAAATAAGCACGTAATATAATTTTCTAGTGGGATAGAAACCTGACCAGTCTCATTTTCACTTAGGTAATACCTATTCTCAATCTCTTTTTAGGGTATTTAGCCCTATGTCTGGTTTCGTGCAGATCTATATAATAATACCATATGGTATTACCCACGAGATTATTCTTTAATTTGGATCATATAATAGTACATAAAATACTTAAAACACTAAAAAGTGAAAACACAAAATCACTTGGCATTTAGAGAAATCCATGCCTTATTCGTTAATTTTTTTGTGTACTTGAACTATTTAGGATTGAAAATTCTTGCAAACAGGTCTCAAACGCTCTAGAAAACTTTTTTTTCTTTTCCTTTCTTTCCTCTCTCTTTCCTTTCTCTTTTTCTTTCTTTCTCACGGTTTCTCTCTCTCTCTCTTCTCTTTATGTTCTTTTTCTCTCTGAATTTATGTGAATTTAAGTGCAACAACAAGAGGGTATTTATACGTATATTTAGATAAGGATAGTTAACTAATTAGAATTTTCATAGGACTCTTAATTCAAATTTAGATTGATAACAAACTTATCATGATATTTGAATTTAAGAAAGTACTAACTACATGAGGATAAGATTTTAGTGTGGATATATGCGAATTTCAAGTTTTATCTAAATATTTATATCAAATAATTCAAGTTTTATCTCTCTCTCTCTCTCTCTCTCTCTCTCTCTCTCTCTATATATATATATATATATATATATATATATATATATATATATATATAAATTGCATTTATGCCTCATAATATATTGTGCGTATGCTTGGGGTATTACGTCCTCCCGCTTAAAAATGATTTTGTCCTTGAAATTTACCTTGTTTATCGAAGAGCTGTGAATATTTATCTTTAATATTTGGTTTGCGTTCCCAAGTGCATTCTTCAACTACGTGATTCTGCCACTGAACTTTTACTCGTGGAATTTCTCTATTCCGAAGTATTCGAATCTCTCTATCGAAGATGACTATTGGAGCTTCCTCATAAGTTAAATCTGAATGAATGTCGAATGAATGATGATTAATCACGTGGCTAGGATCTGATACATATTTCTGAAGCATAGAGACATGGAAGACATTGTGTGCTGTCGAAAAGTTCAAGAGGCAATGCCAACTCGTAAGCCACAGTTTCCACACGTTTCAAAATCTCAAAAGGTCCTATATGTCCTGGTTCGGAGTTTTCCCTTTTGCCAAATTGAATGACTCCCTTCATAGGTGCTATTTTTAGGAAACCTTTTCCACCAACCTTGAACTCAAGATCTTTTTTCCTGTTATCTACATAACTTTTTTGTCGATTTTGGACTGTCTTAATTATGCCCCAAATCTTCTTAATAGCTTAGACTGTTCGCTCAATTATCTCAGGCCCTAAAATTCTTCACTCACAAACTTCATTGCAATGAGCTAGAGATGTGCACTTTCTACCATGTAAAGCCTCATAATGGGCCATTTCTATGGTAGCCCAATAGCTATTATTGTAGGCGAATTCTACCAATGGTGGATTTTTTCCCAGCTTCCTCCAGGATTTAGGATGCATGCTCGAAGCATGTCCTTCAGAATTTGAATAGTCCTCTCAGATTGACCATCTGACTATGGTGGAAAGCTATACTTAAATTTAGTTTAGTCCCCATTGCCTTGTGCCTACTTTTCCAAAATTTTGAAGTGAATATCGGATCTTTATTTGATACAATAGGGAGACTGGGTCCCATGTAATTTGATCACTTCTCTATCATATATCTAAGCTAATTAATCCATATTAGAAGTTATCTTTACTCATAAGTGAGCTATTTTGTCAATTTGTCGATAATAACCCAGATTGCATCGTTTCCTTTATTTGATTTTGGAAAATTAATTACAAAATCCATGGCGATGTGCTTTCATTTCCATTTTGGAATCTCTATTAGATTTAATAATCCTTATGGCCTTTGACATCCTGCTTTTGCTTGCTGGCTAACCATGCACTTCGCTACGAATATAACTATTCCTCTTTTCATATTTCGTGACCAGAATATGCTTTGAAGGTCTTTATACATTTTGTTCCCTTAAGATGTGCTACATGTGGGGGGCAAAGTAAGCTTCTTCCAATATTTCTTTTCGTATCATCTCATTCTTTGATACACGCAATTTTCCTTTAAACATCAAGGTGTTATCTTCAGTTAGCTTAAAATCCTTTCGCTTGCTTCTGCCAACTCCACCTTTAATCTTTTGTAGAAACGGATCACTATATTGGGCTTTTTTAATTCGGTCTCGAATAGTAGGTTGAACTGTGAGAGTAGCAATTTGTGTTGCAATATCTGTTGGAGGTAAGATCATCTCAAGTTGTAAATTACCTATATCTTTGATTAATGATTTTTTT